ATCATTATGTCTTGGTTGCGTGTTAATTTGTGCGATGTCTGACTGGTCGACCTGATGTGCATGTCGTTGCTAGAGTACCCGATGAAGTGGGAAGATGTCATGGCTCATTTCCGTGCTCCAGTGCAGCGGCGGGAGGCAACAAATGTCCTGATTCCCCCCTTGAGCCGCCTCTCAGCCAGAAGAGGAAGAAAGACAAGGCGGTCAGCAAGAAGAAGAAGCGTCTAAAGAACGATGATGATGCCATAGACGTGCGCGGCACTATATATGTAGATTGTGATTCTGAGTAGGTAGGATTGTTCTTGCCTAATGATTAGGTGAAATACTTAGAAATGCAAGGCTGAAACTTCTGATTTCCTAGAAACTCTACTCCAAAACCTATGATCATTAAGAAACTGAGACCCCAAAGGTGCTCCCGAGCTCGAGATCCTTGTTTCCTAGAAGGATCGAACGTCCTTGGAGAACTACTGGATGCCCCAGGCACAAATCGAGATTTGTCGGGTATTATGCGTCTGCCTTTAGTCATGCAATGTGCGTGACGTCATCGATCTTAACTAAGACCATATCCAGGAGAGGGGGGAGTGTAAGGAAATTATATTTCCTTATCCCTGATTTAGTTTGGTAAAGTTAACACCACCATAACGGGGTCGCAGAGCAGTTCTGCCACAAAAATCATATCGTACCACCCAAAATGTGGCCTTCTACTGAGCTGCATACATTTCGCACGCCTTGCAGTTTCATGCGTGGCAGTTGCGGTCCGCACCGATTTGCAGTCACACATCTCAGCTCTGGCGATCTTCGACGGTGTGCTCCAGGCCTAGCTCTATTCTTGCTCTCAGTTGTTTTTTCTTTAGTACCAATTTCTAATACTCTCTGTTTGCACCACATAACATGTTATGATAATTCCCGGATAGGATTTGAATAATGCAATACAAAGGTAGTGATTAAGGTGTGTCAAATACAAGTGAGGCACGAGGTTAAACACAAGCACAGCTAGCCTAGCCAGGAACCTTGAGGATGGGCCACGAAACTCACGCAAGGTGGTTTGAGCACCTCGGGGCTCGAAGATGTCGGGCGCAACTCCACGTATGGGTTCGGGGGTCTCGAACATAGTTCAGGACCTAGGTTGTCGGGTCGAGCCTGGACTTCCAGGGTTGTATATGGTGTTAACGAGGATTTGCTAAGGGAATGGGATTTCCTTACACGTTCCCCCCTCCTGGACGAGACCATCAGATCGATCATGTAAATAGGCCTCCACCAGCTGTGAGGACACACATGTCGTCGTCACACGTGCGGTCAACCCATCCAAGCAGGAACTCCAAAACCCGTTGACCATGGTCGCGACGGATTTTGTGGGAGAGAAACTATTGACGTTTTGTAGTTGGCTCAGGAACAGGTCTGATTAATGGATAGATGCATTGACGGTCGAGATCAGACGTGTTCACAACAAACTGTCGAAGCAAGCTGGCGTGGAAGGAATCATGGAAATGTTAGTCGTCCAATAACAGTAATTCTGTTGTAAAAGGTGTCACCATCTGAACAATTTGGAAGGGTCCACAGAATCTCGGGCAAAGTTAATGTGGCAAATCAGGCATGACTAATTGCCTAGGGGACAATGGTAAATCCCGTCTATGATTGTTTGTGTACCGTTGGACAATCAGGTTGGCTTTGGAAGTGGCCTCAATGGCTCTTTCTCTAGGATGTCAATAAGTCTTTAACGAATTGCTGTGACCGTGGGGTGGGACTTTTAAGTAAGGGTGTAGTGGGAGTCGTGGGGTTGAAACCATGTATTAGGAAGAACGGGGATTGGGCATTTGTGGAAGAGGGGACACTATTGTACGCGAACTCTATTAATGGGAGAGAATCTTCCCATTGAGTCGGGTCGATAAAAGTTGTCCATTTCAGCTGCTCCATGGTTTGGTTTGTCATTTCTGTCTGACCGCTGGTTTGTGGGTGCTATGCTGTGGACAGTTGGAGACGTGCGCCATACTGTTCACACATACTTGTCTAGAAGTTGGACATGAATCCGGGGTCATGGTCGCTCACGATTGCCTTCGGGAATCCGTGCAGGCAAACGACGGTTGAGATGAACAGCTTGGCTGTTTGTTTGGCTGTTATCGTCATTCGGCATGACGTAAAATTAGCCATCTTCATGAGTCAGTCAACGACCACGAATACGACGTCGTTATTAGATGCGTTGTCCGGCAATCCTGTCATGAAATCCATGGACACATGCGTCATGGGCTTGGTGGGTGGATCGAGCGGTTGCAGTAATCCAGCTGGTGTTAGCAAAAGGATTTTACGAGCTGGCAAGTGGGGCATGAGGCCACGTATTGCTGTATGTCATGGCCGGCATTGGACCAGTAATAATGACATTGGAACATTTTCAAGGTTTTACACTGACGGAAAGTATTGTCCACATATTTGTGACTTAGAGGAATTTTGCCATTTTAGGGGGTCATGGACATTAAGCCTTAATCTTCTGGTGTGCCTAGTGTATGTAGGTTGGGGTAAGGCTCTACGCCCATGCCTTACATTACACAAGTATAATGATCAACAAATACCAGAAAATAACAATCTTGGTACATGTGGACAATTATTGCCAAGCGCAAACACCAAGTTACACCAACCCCAAACTAGTACCTAATCCACCGCCCTTTCGCCTTAATCACCGCCCTCACCCTCCTGGGCATGCTTTCCACCATGTGGGTGCACACATCCGCCGGGATCTTCTCCCATTCCTCCTGCACATGCTCCCAAAGGTCCAGCATACCAGTGGGAGGCTTATAAGGCTTGGCCAACTGCCTCTTGAGATGAGCCCATAAATGCTCCATCGGGTTGAGGTCGGGTGAGGAAGACGGCCACTCTAGCACCCCAAAATCTTGCTCTCTAAGCCACTCATGTACGATACGCGACTTGTGCTTCAAGTCGTCGTCGTGCTGGAAGATAGTTTCCGAGGGTGTAAGCTGGTAAAGCTCAATCGTACTGTTGAGATCGTCCTGCAGCATACTCAGCGAGAGCAGTCCATCCATCCTACCATATGTTTTGCTCATGAAACCCGCTCCCTTTTACGACATGCAGTCGTAAATCATCAAGCAACCGCCCCCGTGTTTGACGGTCTGCTTGATTTGGTGTCTTTGGAGGGCAGTCCCTTCGTGAACGCAGGCGTATGAGAGTCCGTCGGATGCAAGACGACCGATCTTGGTCTCATCCGAACAGATCACTCGCTTCTAGTCGTCAACCGTCCAGTCTGCGTGGGCACGCGCCCATTTCAGCCTATCGCGTATGTTTTTCCGAGAGTATCGCGGCTTCTTGGGATGCTTGATTGCGACAAGTCCGCTCCCATTCAAAGCGTTATGCAATGTCTTAGGATGCAACGTGATGCCGTGCTGCTTCTCAACGATTTTCGCCACGTGAGCGGAGATTTCTGCCTCCTCGAGGGTAATCGACCGAACTATGCCGCGGCAAACTCTCTCTGTCACTAAGCTAGGGCGACCGGCTGAGGGCATCGTAGGCCGCACGTCATCGCGGCTAGACTCTACAATCGCCTTGATGGACCAAACTCTTCCCTATGCCTAGCTGTTTAGCGATTCAACGATTGCTCTACCCCCTCCGCAACAAGGGAATGATCTATGCGCAGAGCGCCTCATCTAACGGTTTCATGACGGCCTAATCATCGCAGCGGTCCTAGCCTATCTCCTGACTACTCGATAGTCGCGAGGGCAAGTAAGAAGAAATATCGAGGTTAGGAAATAGATCTACTACGCTGCTTGGCCTAAACTATCCGGATGCACCCACGCTCCTCGGTAAAAAATCGACCCCTATAAAACTGAAAGTAGCATCCGTCACAAACAGTACAGTACTACCTTACATCCAACCCCAAATTTTGATTCGTAACTAAACAAAGAAGGCACCAAACCAATACGAGAAATGTTTTAAGGCAATTATCCGGGCAATACTTTCCACCAGTGTATCACCCTAAAATGTCCTGAGAAATTAGTGTCATGTATCTCCTATATCAGTAGCGCATATAATAGGTGACAAGAAGGAATCCAAATTCAGTCAGTACTGGATTTTCGATAATAGTGCCCTCTCTGAGTAGTAATTGCCCGGTGGTTGTTAGAGGTGAAGAATGGGTATGTGGTATAGAAGGGGGTAAATAGTTTAGTTAGCAATGGATAAGCTTGCGCGATTAGTATGACGGATGTATGAGTAGTCGGTCGGGAAAGGGCATCGCTAATAATATTTTCCCCTTCTGATACTGTAGGTGATGCGGTAGTGGAATTTGGACTCAAGGTATTCGAGCCAATAGAACTGACGTGGATTGAGGATCGTTGAGCTTGGAGGAATAGTAGGGACTTGCGGTCTGTTCGGAATGTGATGTTGGCACCTAATAAGTAGCAGCGCCATGTCTTGAAAGCGTTGACTATAGAGAGCATTTTCTTGTCGTGAATGGGAAATTTTGTACAAGGCCTTGGAGTTTCCGCGGGTCGTAGGCGAAATCTTGTAACAACACTGCACCAACAACGATGTCACTGGCATCTGTAACCATTTCGTAAGGGCAATCTTGGTTGGCAATGCGAAGAAAAGGTGGTGGCACGAGGAAGGCTTTCAGTTGGTTGAACGCAGTTTGCTGCCTCTCCCTCGACTCATAAAAACTCATTTTTGCAACAGGTTGGTTAGTGGGGCAGCTGACTCCGCCATTTTGAGGGATAAAATGACACGCGAAGTTGAGAAGCCCATAAAACTTTGCAGCTCCTTGCTGTTAGTCGGCATCTCCCTGTTCTGAAAAGGGTTGATTTTTTCCGTGTCGATTTTCAAGCCTTTAGTAAAGATGACGTGCCCTAATAGCTCCAGCTCCTCTCTATAAAAAAAACGCAATTAGAACCCTTGGTGATGAGTCAGTGTTGATTGCAAAGGATAAATACTACTTGCAAGACCTTCAAATGATGCTCCCGAGTTTTGTTGTACACTAGGATATCATCCAGGTAGACGATGATGCGCTTGTCCATTAGCGAGCGGAAGACTTCATTCATGGTCAGGTTGAAAAGTTGAGGGCGCGTTCGTCAACCCAAGCAACATCACTGTACACTTATAACTCTTGTAGTGGGTACGAGATGCAGTCTTCGGAATATCAGCTTCGGCGACGTGGATTTGGTGGTACCCTCCTCGCATGTATATTTTCGAGAAGATTTTAGCCCCACGAAGTTGGTCTATGAGATCGTCAACTCGCGAAAGCAGGTAACGAGACTTAATGGTAATATTGTTTAGCGCTTTGTAGTCCGTACACATCCGCAGGCCTCTGTCCCTTTTGGGGGTGAAGAGAAATGGGGATGCGTAGGGTGACGTGGATGGGCGGATGATTCTTTTCTCGAACAGATATTCCAGTTTTGCAAGTAGCTCCTGTGATTCCGGCTGGCTCAGCCTCCACTGCGATCGGACGGTTGGTTGCGCACTAGGTTCTAGCTTGGTGGTGTGATCGTTTGGTCTTTCTTATGGCAGGTTGGGTGGTAGGTTATCGGGAAATATTTTCTCATACTTACACATGATTTTTGCCAGATCCTCGAGCACTGCAACAGACAGCTTCTTGAGGTCAGTCTGTTCCACCACAGGCATAGGCGCAATCCATCGGATGACATAGACGTTCACTCCCTTCGTCATCACATCCCATCCCGCACCGACCCTTCCGACCACCGAGCTGCACTGCCACGCCGGCCTTAGCTCTCCCCTCTGAGCCGACGCTCCCGCTGGCAGCCTTCACCGCTCTCCACCGCACTCCACTATTCTCCACCGCTCTCCGTCGCTCTCCACCGCACTCCACAGCACTCCACCGCTCTTCACTGCTCTCCGCCGCCTTCCTTCGCCTTTCCTCTTCTCCCTGTCAGCGGCAGTCAGCTGCTGCAACCGTGGTGATGGTGGACTCCCTGCCTGAACGTGGAGGGCAAGGCGATCAACTTCGAGGCGCGGCTCGTCGACCTTCGCCGTCACTTTACAGGTCAGTGCCAGAACGGTCACTCCCTGGCTGTTCATGTCGATGGCCTGCTTCCCCGCCCTACTGCACCTGTTGCCCTCCCTGATGCTCCCACCACTGCTGAGCGTGAGGCATTTTCCGCAGCTGCGCTTGCCTGTGCTGTTTAGGAATCGCGCGACGCCGTCGCGCAGCTTGCTATTAGTCACGCACTTCCCCTGTTTGAGCGTCCCCGCTTTACCACTGTAGCGAACGCCCAGGAATTCTTAGATGCAGTCATCGCATGCTATTCCACCCCCGCCTCAACCTCTGCTGGCCGCCTGATCCTCCCCATGTTGTTCCCCGATCTTGCGTCCTTACCCACTATCGCCGATCTTGCCACTCACCTCCACGCACTTGAGACTAGCTACTACACTGCTAGCACTGAGGCCCAGCTCACGGCCCTTCCGCCGCCGCTTCGTGCTACCCTCTACCTCATTGCCACGCGCCTTCTCGACCGCCTTGCCACTGCCCATAACCACTTCCTTAGTTAGCACCTGGATGACCTCACCCTCCCTGCCTTTGTCACCGCCCTGTCTATGATAGAGACCTACCAGTGGACAATCGCTCCGTCTAGCGGTACTGCGCCGGTCTCCACCTTTTAGGGCTATGCTTCCTCTCAGTGCTCTTACTCTAATGTCTCTACCGCTGTTGCTAAGACTGCCGCTGCGGCCTCAGCGCAGCCGCATCCGAGTAAGGGCCACCGCCCCAAGGGGGGGTGTGGCAGAGGGAAGGGGGGTGCGGGTGGGGAGGGTGGAGGAGGTGCGGGCGGGGACGGTGGCTCGGACGAGGGGACCAATGCTGGTGCCCTGGAGCAGCGGCCGCAGCAGCCGCAGCCTCAGCAGCAGCAGCAGCTGTAGACTCAGTAGCAATAGCAGCAGCCGCAGCAGCAGTCACAGCAGCAGCAGTAGTCGTCGTGGGGTCCCCCGCCACCGTGGTGGACTGGCGGCGCTGGTGATGGGGGGCGCAGCTCGGTGTCGGGTGGCAGTTCCAGTGTGGTCACCTGTCAGTACTAGCTTCAGACCAGCCCCCGCCGCGGCACAATCCGCGATCGTTCCGGCCACATCGCCACTCGCTGCTACCACCGCCTGGACGACCTCTTTCGTCTCCGCTTCGGTTCCACGTCAGACCCTCCTGACTGGTACACCCTGGCGCGCCGACGTGTGCCTGTCTTTGAGCTTAACATGGATCAGATTAGGATTGCTATGTCTGTCATGTATGCTGATGACTCTAGTGTGATTGGGCCCTATTACCAGGTGTTGCCTAGCGTAGGTGTGACCCCTATGCGTAGTCTAGGCTCCCTTGCTACATCAAGCGTAGGGCCCCCTGCCGTATTTAGCCTACGCTGCTCGCTAGCCCCTCCGCCGGCGGACGCCACTGCTTCACTCTCCTTTATGCTCGACTCAGGTGCGTCCGCCTGCTTCTTTTGCGACCACACTGCGCTCACGTCGCTTGCTGCCCCCGCCGCTGTAGCGCTTGTAACCCCTCCTCAGGTCCGGTAGTCGCCCATAGCTCCACAACCCTCCCCTGTCCGGCGGTCCCCTCGGGCTCTCTTACAGGCCTACACATCCCCTCGTTCTCCAGGAACCTAGTTGGTGTCGGCTGTCTTCAAGACCTCGCCGTCACCACTACATTCCCCCGACATGAGCGGTACGCGGTCTGTACCGAGGCCGCTGTTGGTGCAACCCTATGGCTTGCACTCGGCTTGTCGTCCTTGTTTGTGTGTGTGCATGCATGGCATGGAATGAATTGTGATTCTATGTCATTGCTATCCAGTGCTTGTGTGTGTGTTTGAATGGTGTATCACAATGTGGTTTGTGTCGGTCAAGACATTAGCGAGTTTTTACAACTCGCTTGTCAAGTCGTCATTTGTGTGTCGCATGTGTTTTTTCTATTTTGTCGAGTGTGAAGTGTCCATCGCGTCGCAAGTGTGTGCAGCAAGCCCCCATCAACTCAAGAAGTATTTATCTTGCATTTCCAAGACCAAGAGCTCAAGATTTCAAGCCCAAGGGACGCGGATAAATATTAAATAGTGGAAATAGTAACGCTACTTCGTGTAGTGTTACATTTCACTTGGTGTAGCCCCTTGGAGGGTTGGTTTCGAGCCTCTTCGTGGTTGGGGACTCTGTGGTGGTGTACCACCAATCCGGACCTCAGCTCTTGGGGTATGTAGAGGCTGGGAACCATCTCCCTCTCGAATTCTTCTTCCTAAGTTTTTTTGTACTCCTAAGACTATAGTGGCTGCTATACCTCCTGCCAGTCAAACCGCCATAGCGTCGTCAAATCTTCATAGAATTTCATGATTAAACTTGCTGCTGATAGACGACAGCAACGCCCTCAAGATCCAATTTACAGATCACCATTTTAGTTAGCAAGCAGATCGTTATCAATATTTGAAGCAGTCTGATGGAAATCCGACTGTGCTCTCTATCTCTCATTATAGGCACATCTGAGCCTATTGGGATTATAACAAGTGGTATCAGAGCCCCTTGGAGCTGTCTCGACCATGCCTAGACCTGAGGAAGGGGGTGGCAGAGGTGCTGGAGGCAGAGAAGACGCCCAAGGACAAGGTCAACACCAAGATGCACCCGTTGCTCCGGTGCAACCTAGCCTTGGACCCTCTAGGGATGAGCCTAGAGTGTTTGGCCTTGACAAGTTCAATGGTGACAACTTTGCTGAGTGGTCCTTCAAGATAGAGAACATCTTTGACCACTATGATCTGCTGGAGGTGATGGAAGGAACGGAGAAGCGCCCCGAGAACGACCCGGAGAAGAGCCCGTGGGTGCGGAAGAGCGCACAAGGCTACCTTCTACTTGGGCAAGCGTTGGGGAGCAGCCAAATCCGTCACATCAAGCCTTTTCAGCATTAACAAGCAAAGGGACCAAAGGCATGGGCTGCTCTCAAGGGTGTACACGCTCCTGCAACAGCAGCGGTGGCTGTGGTTTTGGAGCGGCAAATGGCGGCACTTCGAATTGACGAAGGCGAACCGGTGGAGGAAGGAGTGCAGAAATTCTTCGACTTGTTGACACGGCTCGAAGGAGCTGACCTGAACTACGGTGACCTTCAAAAGAAGACCAAGCTGCTGGCCTTACTTCCGGACTCATGGTCCTCGCTCATCATCAACCTAAATCGAGATATGCCCCGTCTCTCACTCGAAGATGTGAAGCGGGAAATCTTACAAGAAGATTTCCGCCGTCGCGAATTGGCGGGTCCCGATGGTGCCGGAGTTGCAAGCATGGGCCGTGGGCACGGCCGTGGAAGGGCAGAGGGCGAGGAGGCAGATTTGGCAGCAGTAACTTCAGTGGAGGCCGTGGTAATGGAGGATATGGCAGCAACAACAACAACAATGGCTACGGGCGTGGGCGCGGTCGATTTGATGGCGAATGCCACTTTTGTCACAAGACCGGCCACATGTGGAGAGATTGCTTCTGATTGCCTGATGGATGGACCCCTTCTCAAGGCCAAGAGGGCAGAGGAGCAAGGGGAGGAAGAGGCAGAGGTCGTGGAGGCTGTGGTGGTCGTGGAGGCGAAGCTGCAAGCATGAAAGGTGGAGACTACGACAAGGACTCGAGTGAAGATCGATACCCGGGCCGATTCTTCTTTGTCTCCACGCAAGCGGCAGCTGCAGCAGGAGGTGTGGAAGGCTTTGAAGAGCCAGCTACTATGGGAAAGGTCACCCTTCACTCTCTGGACTTTTGGGTGATCGATAGCGGTGCCACTTATAGCATGACACCTCGTGCGGACTTGCTCACCGATCTCGAACCGTCGCCGGTCAAGCATGTTACATCGGCTTTGGGGCAGCGAGCAGAGGTGAAAGGCATGGGCAAGGCCATGTTCAAGGGTGCTGATGGGAAGATGGTGGGCCTCAAGAACGTGTTTTGGGTGCCCAACCTAGCAGCCAACCTGATCTCTGTTCGGCGTTTGCAAAAGGCTGGCATGGACACATCTTCCAAGGGCTCCAAAACATATACCGCGAGGCTTGGTGAGCGGAAGCTTTGGGACCTTCATGAGGACAAGGACATCTACAATGAGATGTGGCAAATCCCAGTAGTCCCCATGCCTAAGGGGAGGCAAGTGGCAGCAAGCGTTAGCACCAAGAGTGAAGCGGTTGGTGGCGGTGATCACGGAAGACAAAGTGACACCAAGACTGACTCGAAGGAGTGCAACCTTGGAGAGACCAGCAAGGCGTGTAAACCCAAGGAGAGTGGTGCAGCAGCCAAAGGTGGTGGAAATGAGGAGGAGAAGCCTAAGATCAGCAAAGCAGCAGCAGCGAAGGAGAAAGGAGAGAGCTTGTGGGGCACGATTGCGAGTGCCGCTTTCTCCAACCCGACTTCCGCTACGGGAGAGTGTGATTGGCTGACCTTGCATCGGCGAATGGGGCATGTGGCATTGCCCATTTTGCCGCAGATAGTTAAGCAAGAGATGGTCAGTGGGATACGTGTCAAGGGGGAGCCCAATGAGGTGCTTGGCTGTCCAACATGCATGCAAGCCAAGTTCACCCGCTACCTGTTCCATAGCTCGGAGACAACGGCGAAGGCACCACTTGATGAGGTGGTGATGGATGTGGTGGGCCCCTTGAAGCTTGGAGCTGCTGGAGCAGAGTACTTCCTCACCATTGTGGACGTCTACACTCGCATGACTTGGGTGTATGTGCTGCCCAAGAAGAGTGATGTAGCTGAAACGGTGAAGACCGATTGGTTGCCGATGGTGGAGCGGCAACAAGACCGGCTTGTGAAGGCAGTTCGCACTGACCGTGGGGGAGAGTTCCTGAGCAAGGATTTCTCAACTTGGCTGAAGAAGCAGGGCATAAGGCACTCTCTTACCATGTCCTACTCTCCTGCAATGAACGGCATCGCCGAGCGTGCGAATCGAACACTCACGGAGACGGCTCGGGGACTTCTCATTGAAGCCGGTCTACCCAATTATTTTTTGCCGGATGCGGTGCGGCATGCATGTGTGGCCAAGAACAGAGCCTTGACTCATGTGGGAGAAGACAAATGGGTGCCCTATGTGGAGTGGATCGGAAGGAAGCCGAAGGTGGATATGCTTCGGGTGTTCGGGTGCATGTGCATGGCACTTGTGCCTAAGAAACTTCGGCACAACAAGCTTGATGCCAAGGCAACATGGGCCGTGCACCTGGGCATGGCTCAAAACAGCAAGGGATGGCTTCTTTGGGACCCATTTACCAAGAAGTTCTTGGTGAGCAGAGATTTCAAGTTCTTGGTGAACTTACCGTACAAGGAGTGGAAGGCGGAGAACCAAGCAAAGATTGGTGTGCGGCTTGGAGAGGTGAAGAGTCACGGCTTGGAGCATGTGGAGCTGCCCTTGGAGCTGAGTAGCAGCAGCACAATCACAAGGCAATCTCCTCAAATGAATGGGGGAGAAGAGGAGGAGGAGGTGCAGCAAGGTGATGAACGTGCACCGTCACTTCCGCCTCGTACTACAAGTGCTCGTGGGAACCGACCAGATTTACCGCAACGCCATGAGAGCATTCAAGTCCCTGCAGCAGAGGAGGAAGGAAGGAGGAGAAGGAGGACTCAGCCCCCTAATAGGTTGAGCTATGACCGGCTTGGAGGACCAGCCAACTCAACCTTGACCGGTTCGGCACTCATGCTAGGCGATGATGCGGAAGATGAAAGCGAGGAGTGCGCCTTTGCCTCCTTCTCTCCGGTGGAGATGCCGGAGGAGCCTACAAATCCTAAGGAGGCTTGGCAGGGCCCCAATGGGAAGGAGTGGAAGAAGGCCTCAGATGAAGAAATGGGGAGCATCATAGAGAACGACACATTTGACTTGGTGAACCTACCTCCGGGGCGGAAGGCGATCTCTTCCAAGTGGCTCTTCAAGCGCAAGACCGACGCCGACGGCAACATCGAGCGCTACAAGAGCAGACTTGTAGCCAAGGGGTATCAGCAGCAAGAGAAGAAGGACTACAATGAAGTTTATGCCCCTGTGGTGAAGGATACAACCCTTCGAACCCTCTTCGCAGCGGCGGCCATCAAAGGATGGGTGGTGAAGCAAATGGATATAGTAACGGCCTTCCTCAACGGCGTTTTGGAGGAAGAGACCTTCATGGAGCAGCCAGAGGGGTACAATGATGGGAGTGGCAGAGTGTGGAAGCTGAAGAAATCACTCTATGGCCTCAAGCAAGCCTCTATGCAATGGTACATCAAGCTGCAGGAAGGCTTGGAGGCGATCAGCTTCACTCCCTCAACGGCCGATCAATCCTTATTCATGCTTGGCGAGGGGGAGCAGAGGAGCTTCATGGTGGTTTATGTGGATGACATCCTCATATTCTCACCCTCCTATGACCTTGTGAAGGATGTGATGCTGAAGCTTCAAGACAAGTTCAAGTGCAAGACCCTTGGTGACGTCAACGACTACCTTGGGCTTCACATTGAGCGAGATGTGGAAAAGCGGTGGATGCGAGTGCATCAAAAGAAGTGCTTGGAGGCATTGGCTGCAAACTTTGGGAAGAGTGAAGGTCATGTGGCTACTCCTCTTCCCTTAGTGTTCAAGTGTGTGAAAGGACCAGCAGAGGAAAGTGTTGGTGAAGAGGAGAGGCGCCGTTTTCACTCCTTGGTGGGCAGCCTCATTTATGCGGCCGTTCACACAAGGCCGGATGCAGCCTTTGCTACCGGGCAGCTGGCTAGGGTTGTCCAATGCCCTAATGAAGAGCAGGTAGCAGCTGGAGAGAGGGTGGCCAAGTACCCTGGCCAAACAGCAACTGTTGGACTGCAATACTACGCGGCGGCACAAAGGCGTCAAAAGGGTGCGGATGGAGTCGAACCCGGGAGGCTCTTTCTCACCGCCTTCTCTGATGCATCTTGGGCATCAGAACCAGAGGACATGACAAGTGTGGGAGGCTTCATCTGCTGTGTTGGTGGAGGGCCAACAGCTTGGGAGAGCAAGAAGCAAGTGGACCAAGCATTGAGCTCGGTGGAGTCCGAGTACATGGCACTCTTCCGTGCCATAAGAGAGGTTGTGTGGCAGCGGCGTTTGCTAGCTGAATTGGGGGAGGAGCAGCAAGGACCTACCCCACTCTACTGTGATAGCCAAGGTGCTATTGCATTGGCAAAGAACCTTGTTCTTCATGGCCTTACCAAGCACATGAAGGTGAAGTAGCATTGGGTGAGGAGCATGGTAACCGCGGGTGAAGTGGAGTTGCACTACGTGAAGACGACAGCGCAGCCTGCTGATATGATGATCAAGAGGCTGGTTGAGCAGCAGTATTGGAAGTGTTGCAAGCTTGCTGGGATGGCTCTGAACTAAGCGGAGCTGATTCTAAGGCCAACAATCCGAGGGGGAGTTTGTTGGTGCAACCTTATGGCTTGCACTCGGCTTGTCGTCCTTGTTTGTGTGTGTGCATGCATGGCATGGAATGAATTGTGAGTCTATTTCATTGCTATCCAGTGCTTGTGTGTGTGTTTGAATGGTGTATCACAATGTGGTTTGTGTCGGTCAAGACATTAGCGAGTTTTTACAACTCGCATGTCAAGTCGTCATTTGTGTGTCGCATGTGTTTTTTCTATTTTGTCGAGTGTGAAGTGTCCATCGCGTCGCAAGTGTGTGCAGCAAGCCCCCATCAACTCAAGAAGTATTTATCTTGCATTTCCAAGACCAAGAGCTCAAGATTTCAAGCTCAAGGGACGCGGATAAATATTAAATAGTGGAAATAGTAACGCTACTTCGTGTAGTGTTATATTTCACGTGGTGTAGCCCCTTGGAGGGTTGGTTTCGAGACTCTTCGTGGTTGGGGACTCTGTGGTGGTGTACCACCAACCTGGACCTCGGCTCTTGGGGTATGTAGAGGCTGGGAACCATCTCCCTCTCGAATTCTTCTTCCTAAGTTTTTTTGTACTCCTAAGACTATAGTGGCTGCTGTACCTCCTGCCAGTCAAACCGCCATAGCGTCGTCAAATCTTCATGGAATTTCATGATTGAACTTGCTGCTGATAGACGACAGCAACGCCCTCGAGATCCAATTTACAAATCACCATTTTAGTTAGCAAGCAGATCGTTATCAATATTTGAAGCCGTCTGACGGAAATCCGACTGTGCTCTCTATCTCTCATTATAGGCACATCTGAGCCTATTGTGACTATAACAGCCGCCACTGATGCCCCTCTGACCATGTTCCCCCAAGACCCTGTATCTGGCCTATTTACGCTTAACACTCCACCCCCACTGGTGAGGGCGTTCCCTCATGTGTCAACGTCGACCCAGGTTGCTGCATCTTGCTTGTGTCAGTCGCTCACTCACCCGCGTCTACATCACATATCCCATCACGGTCTTGTCTTTGGTCTTCCTGCGTCGCTCCCTGCCCTTCCTCCCTCGCCTGAACTGTCGTGCACGCCTTGCCTCGAGGGCCGGCTACGCTGTTCTCGTCACTCCTCCCCGCTTCCCCCTACCACTCCGCCACTCCAGACCCTGCACTTGGAAGTTTGGGGCCCAGCCCCCGTCCTTGGGCCGCCTCGAGAGCGCTACTTCCTAGTGCTTGTCAATGACTACACGCGCTATACCATGGTGTTTCCCCTGGAGTAGAAGGCTGACGTGCTTGACGCTCTTATCTCGTGGGTCGTAGTTGTGTGAGTCCACCACAGCCTCCCTGTGCTGCGTCTCGACTTCGACCGTGGCGGCGAGTTTGCCACCGGTCGGCTTGGCTAGTTCTGTCGTGCGGAGGGCATCACCCAATCGTTCACCCTGCCGTACTCCCCGCAGTAGAATGGGGTCACAATGCGACGCATCAGTTTGGTCATGGAGGTGGCTCATACCTCCATGATCCGTGCCGATGCACCCCATTTTCTATGGCCGTTCGCTGTTCACTACGCCACTCACCAACTTAACCTGTGGCCGCACTCCCAGCGGCCGCAGGTTTCGCCGACCCTCCTCTGGACCAGGTTCCCTGGTGACGCGTCAGCGTTCCACGTCTGGGGCTGCCTCGCTCACGTCTGTGCCTCCGGCACGGACAAGCTCACAGCCCGCACTGTCCCCTGTGTCTTCCTTGGTTTCCCCCTTTGTCGCGTCTAAGTGGCACTTTTACCACCCGCCTTCTCACCACTTCTTTCACTCTCGTGATGTCACATTTGACGAGTCTGTCTCCTTCTACCACCGCTTTCTCCACTGAGGTCTCCTGGTTTCCCCGCCCCTGTTTCTGGTTCCCATTCCTCCGGTAGCCCAAGCTCCTCTCCCTCCCCATCCTGTCCCATCTGGTGTGTCTCACGTCACTCCCCTCTCATTGGTGGTCCCGGTGGAGGAGTCCGCTGACTACGGGGGCCCCGCGGCTTCAATTTCGCCAGTGCTGGAGAGGGTTCTCGTTCTGGGGGTGCTGGTTCTGGGGGTGCTAGTCCTAAGGCTCCTTTCGTAGCTTGTCCCGGCGGTCCTAGGGGTGGCACCACTGCTGGAGAGGGTTCTTGTTCTGGGGGTGTTGGAGTGGGGCGTTCGGGAGGTAGTCATGGTGCAGCTAGAGGTTCTGGTGTCGGTGTGGAGCAGCAGCAGCAGTCGCAGCCGGTGTCTGCCCTTCCCCTCCTCAGACTTCCCTCCCCTGGCCGTCCGCGTTCGCCTCCCCCGCCGCCGCCTCTCGTGCCTGTCTGCGGCCCAGTGTTTCCTCCGCCGGACTCGTCTCCGGCTCGTTTTTCCCCTCATTCCTCTCCTACGTCTCCTCCTCTGTCTCCTGACCTGACACCTTTGTCTTACGTCTGGTCTCGCCGTCCCTCCCGTGCTCATCATGTCTCTCTTGTTCGGCGCCCTCACCTTATGTTGCTTCGTTCCCACGCGTCTCGTCCTCCCCTCATCCTGTCGCCTCCTCCGTCGTCTCTTGTTGTCACTCCGCCTCCTCTGTCTGACTTCCTTCGTGCCCCTAGTCCTCTTGTTCCTCAGGTCCTTGACTCCCTTGTTACCGACACGTTTGTTCCTGTCTCGAGTCTTAACGCGATTGTCATTGCCGTCGTTGACTTCGCCTCTACCCGCCGTCTTTGACTACGCCACCGCTCTGGACTCTGACCTTGCCCGTCCACCGTCCGTCGGGAGTGCTCCTGCCCTTGGCAGTGACGTCTTGGAGGACCGGCAGTACGAGCTTGCTTTCCTGTCTGAGGCCGAGCCTCATCTTTGCTCCATGCTGCTAGTCCCTAAGGGGGACCCAGATGCCTTTGACATTCTGACCCCTCACACTTACGCGGATGCGACCTCGAGGCTCTGGGCCTTTTGGTGGATAGCTGCCATGGACGCGGAGATGGCATCTTGGAGATCCATCGGCACCTATATTGACGCAGTTTCACCATCTAGGGTGAACGTTGTCGAGGCCAGTGGCTCTTCAAGGTGAAGCGCCCTCCTGGAGAGCCGCCGGTGTTCAAGGCGCACTACGTTCCTAGAGGCTTCAGTCAGCATGAGGGTGTTGACTTCTTCCAGACCTTCGCTCCGACCCCTAAGATGACTACTCTTTAGGCGTTTGTATACATAGCAGTACAGCGTGACTACGAATTGCACTCTCTCGAATTCTCAACAGCGTCTCCTCAGAGCAGTCTGCACGAGCAGGTATACCTGCATCGCCCGCTAGGCTTCACCGGCACCTTCGTCCCGGGGACCCAGTGGCTCCTTCGACGTTTGGTTTACGGCCTGCGCGCGAGTGGCACGACGTGTTGCTTGCTACGTTAGCTGACCTGCAGGTCTTCCCGTCCTCAGCAGACCCCTCACTCTTCATTCATGTTGGCCAGACCCCGTTCTACATCCTTGTCTACGTAGATGGCCTGATCTTGCTACTGCAGACAGAGACGCACTGGCCTCCGTGAAGGCTGAGATACTGAGGAGACACACGTGCACTGACCTAGGAAAGTTGCGCCGCTATCTTGGCCTGCAGATCTCGAGGGACAGAGCAACGCGCACCATCACTCTCACACAGTCACACTTGGTGCGTCAGGTCCTTTAGAGGTTCGGTCTTCAGTTCTCCTCAGCACAGCTCACACATTTGCCAGTAGATTACAGGCTCTCGGCTCCAGTTCCTTGGGAGTCTGTAGAGCCTAGTGATCCGTACGCAGAGCTGGTGGGTTGCCTCATGCACCTGATGACTTGTACTCGTCCAAATCTCGCATACCCTCTCAGCATCCTGACTCGCCATGTGGCCACAGGCAGACACCGACCACAGCACTGGTCGGCCGCCAAGAGGGTTTTGCGTTATCTAGCAAGTACATCGAGCATGGGATTAGTGCAAGGAGGACACAGGCCAGTGGTCAACAAGGTAGAACGGTCCTGTATGCTGACAACAGGGTCATGATCCTCCAGTGTCAGGAGCCTCGACTGGAGGGCAGAGCGAAGCACATGCAGCTGCGGTACTTCCTGCTGCGCGAGCTACAACAGCGCCGCCAAGCCCGCATAGTACACCTGGCCTCATGTGCCAACACAGCTGATATCTTTACGAAGGCGCTTGCGCCTAAAGATCATGCGCGGCACTGTGTACAGCTTGGTCTAGTTCCTGTAGCTTTTCACTTGCTAGGAGCTTGATTGTGTAGTATTTTTATATTATCTTGACTGGCCGTGTAGCTCTTGTCCCAGTGGCTGGACTAGTAGTACTGCCTTGGGTTGCTCTTGTTTAGTTTGTACTCTTGCTGATTGGTCTTCAGACCCCTACCTCAGAGGTTGGACTAGTAGTGCCACCATAGCTGTGTGTCTCTTGCCTGGCATTGCCCCTCATCTAGCCTAGGGGGTGTGTCAAGCATATGATGTATATGTCTTATATGCTAGATAGGTGTGTACTCTTAGAGGGTACAACCCCTTAGAGAAAACCAACCTGTTTGCTTCATTCTAGTCAGCATTTCTCACTTTGATATGGGACCTGGGTTGTGTGGCCGAGCCTGGGCTTCCGAAGTTAAGGGATGTACGCAGTGTTAGCGAATCCTCGCTAAGGAAATGGAATTTCCTTACATTTGGCCTTCTATCACAGTTGAAATAAACCAGGAGCACTATGTCGGGATGGTCCCACCTCCAGCATGGCGCACGTGACAGGGAGGGCAGGGGAGTCATGGATGGCATCTTTCGATCTGCGCCACCTCATCGTCGCCCATCCGCCCACATTTCGATCCTCGCAACCCTCCCTTCCCCCCAATCCAAATCCCTCGTTCCTCTCCCCTCCATCCATCCTCCCTCTCTCCCCACACCACATGAACAGTGCTGCTCACCAAACCCTAGCTGTTTGTTGCAGCAGGCAGCATGTTTCTCGTCGTGACTCGTCTCGTTAGTGGTTAGCTGGCCTGCTGCGCCTGACTGGTTGGTGGTTTCTCTCGGCTCCCCTCCCCATCTCGTCTGGAGCAGCTCTGCTCCACCTCCTTCCTACTCGTTCTGCTTCTCTGCTGTCTCTCCGCCCCCATTGACCTACACAGTGTAACCTTAGTTGACAGGTGCTTAGCAGGATGAGACAACAGCCTTAGCAGGTCAACCCGCAACACACGCTTTAGATTTTACGACGTGAGTATTCGTGGTAGCATTTTTCATGGCGTGCCATCGTTGCCAGCTGGCATCCTGTGCTGTCATCACGTGCTCTCGTCACGTTGTGTTCACGCCGTGTCGCATGTTGGCGTGGCCTGGCGAACGCACAACGGTGGGCGTTAGATGCCGTTGACCGCCGCCGATATTGCCATTCTCTCGGGCTCTCTCGGATTTCTCCTGCGCGCAAAACGTGGTCTTTTTTTCCCCCTTTTCTGGTTCGCGATCTTGGCAGCGGCTCCTGTATCTATGCTGCAGCGTGGTTCAACCTCGCGGTCTCGCGTCAGCAACAGTCGCTAGCGGTACGACTCCCGTAGCTAATCTCCTTCTGGCTTTCGTTGGGCCCTGCCCCTTGCCCCTGTATAGCACTCGTCGTGTTTTGCTCAGTCCCGCCTTTCCTTGGGGTTTCTTTCCCGTTCCACTCTCTTCTCGACTTTTCGATTCTGCAGCACCTTTTTACATTCCTCGTGTCTCATTCACGCGTGCACAGCAAGCACCTCCTACATTTCGTCGTTCTTAACCTTTCTAAGCGCTTGCTTTCTTCCCCCACATCGTTTTGCATGGCGCATCCATGTGCTCGCTTCGTTTTCCGGCTGTTCTCTCGCCCGTGCGCTCTCGCAGCAACGCCTGCCGTTCCGTTCTTCGACCCCTCCCTTCTCACCAGGTAGTGGCCGCTGCCTACGTCGACTCACCACCACCGGAGCCATCTGCCATCCCCTCTCCCCCTTCTCCTCCCCCAATGGACGCCTTATCCCGTCCGCCCGCCGCTCCCCTCCCCGCGCGCCGCTGGGTGGTGCCGCACAAGAAATGGGCTCTTCCCTCCGCCTCCCCGCTGCCCGCTTCCGCCTCCTACGGCTCCTCTCTCGCCGACTCCTCCTTGCTTTCTTCGCACGTCCCTTCGCACCCGTCGCACGTCTCCTCGCACCCATCGCACGGCGGCAGCTGGGCCAACGGGAGTGTCGTAGAGGGGAGCTGTGGCGCCGATCCGTCGCAACGAGGGCGGGAGCGAGCGGCGCAGGGATGGGCGAACGCGCGGAGCAGCGGTGGGTGGCAAGGCGGGGACGCGGCGGTGCCGGGGGGAGCGCCGGCGGATGCTGGTTGGCGGAAGCGGAAAAGGTAACGCACCAGAGAGCCGGTAACTGGTCTCGCTGCGGAGGAGGGAGGGAGGTTGGACGGGAAGGAAGGGGGGGGGGGGGGGGGGGGGTTTGAGGGATGGGAGGGGAGGGGAGGGGAGGGGGGAGGGATGTAGTCGTCTTTTCGTCTTGTCTCCTGCAAACAGCCAGCCGTCGTTTTTCTTCTTCCGTGAGGCCACCGGCGCCCTTCCCTCGTGCCCTTCTTCGCACTCCTCTTTCCCCTCTCATCCCTCCCCTCTCCCCGCTCCTTCCCTGTTTCCCCTGCCCCCTATCTCCCCATCCCAACCACCCCACCCCCCCACCCCCCACCCCCGCCCCCGCCCCCCCGTCCCCCTCTTCCCGCACCTCCTCTCCCCGTTCTCCCCCTCTGCTCTCATCGTTGCTCTCCCCGCCACCCCCTGCCTGCAGCCATCTCTCCGCGGCTGCGGACGACTCCGCCTGTCTGACGTCATCACACGGTGCCGACGTCCCGCCCTCCGCCCTTCCGCATCCCTCCCATGCGCCTTCGCATGCGGACTCCCCCTTCGCGCATCCCGCCGCCTCCCCCCGCCCGCCCGCCACCCGCTGGGACGTTCCTCTCTTCTCCGCCAAGCGCGCGTGCCTCGCGGCGGACCAGCGCAGGCCCGCGGAAGCACCGTGGGCGGAGAGACCCGCCGAAGGAGCCGCATGGGCGGAGAGACCGGCCGCGTGGGTAGAGGGGGCGCAAGGCCGGGAAGCCGCTGCGGCGGCAGCGGCGGTTGGGGGAATGGGGAGGGGGAGGGGAGAGGCGGGGCGTGGCGGGCGCTGAGCGCATCCTCCGTGGATTTTGCGCCACAGCCCTTCCAGCCAACCACGGGTTCCGCCGGCCGCGGAGCGCTGCTTGCATTCGCCGTGGGCGCGGCGCCGAGCCCGCATGGGGACGGGCGCGGGAGTCTCCATCATCCCGCGTCCTCCGCGCGCAGCATCGGCGCGTCCCTGGAGAGTGGCGCGCGCACGCGGCGAGGAGTCTGCGCGCGGGGCAGGAAGAGGCGGGGAGCGGAGGGAGATCTGGCGCAGCAGGGCTCGATGGCGGGGCGAGCGGGAGACGGGGGCGCGGGAATAGAGGCGGGCGGAAGGGCTGGCTGGGATGTGGCGCAGGGGGAAGGGGAGCAGAGCTCGTGCGCGAATGGGGGAACAAGGGGCGACGACGACGAGGAGGGGGGTAGAGGGGAGGAAGAAGCGGAGAGGAGAGAGGGAGGCGGCGCGGAGAGTGTTGCGCGGCCGAGGAGGCGGAGGCGGAAGGGAGGGCTGCTGGGGGTGGCGGAGGAAGGGGAGGAGGGCGAGGGAGCGACGGACTACCAGGCGTCAGCAAGTCCGCTAGCCTCCCTGGCTGAACCGTCAGCGCCTGGTGTGTCGGCGGCAGTGGGCGATGCGGCGAGACTAGACCCCTCCTCGCATGTTCCCGACGGCCGTGCGGGAAGCGCGTACCTGGAAGCCACTCGCAGCACGGGTGGGACTGTCGCGAGTGCCAGTGCGAATGGCTCGTCCGCTGACTGCTACTCGACCAGGGGCAGTAGCGCAGGGGAGCGGGACAGCACGGCAAGGGAGCATCAGCAGCAGCAGGGGCGGAGGCAGAAGGGGCGGCCGTTGCATGAGCTGGCGAATGGGGCGGGCGGCGAAGGGACGAGAGAAGCGGAGCGAGAGGCGGACAGCAGCGCGGACGACTGGGGGGGCAAGCGGCAGAGGCAGAGGCAGAGGGCGGTGGAGGAGGAGAGAGGCGCGCAGGCGCAGGCGGAGGAGCGGGCGGAGGTGGAGATGAAGCGGCGGTTCAGCGTGGTGGTGCAGTCGCAGGTGGGGGGCGAGGGGGACGAGGAGGCGCCGCAGCACGAGGGCGAGGCGGACAGGTGCATGTCCGAGCATGTAGGGGCGGCCAAGTTTGTCCTGTCCTCTGGCCGCACGCTATCAGCAGGTACGTGATTTTTGCCTTGTTAGCTCTCGTTCGACACTGCACCCCCCTCCCGTCGTCCCCCTCCCCATACCCTCCCCTCCCTCTCTTTCTCCCCCACCCCCGTCCTCTCTCCCCCCCCCTTCTCTCCTGCTCTCTCCCTCTGCATACGGGCATGTCTAAGTTGGCATCCCTGTCGCGATTGCCTGTCGTTTGTTCGGACATGTCCAGCTTGCATTGCAACGTGGTGGGTCTAGAATCTACATGCCTTGATGCCTGCCTCGGTTTTCCCTGCCTCGCGTGTCTGCATGACTCCCTTGATGCCCCCGGCTCCATGGGTGGCCCATCAGAGTGTCTACCAGCCGCCAAGAAGAAGCCGACTATCGACGACGAGTTTGAGCAGTACTTTGCGCAGCTGCTCTTGTAGCAGCGATCCATTCTCATCAGGTTTGCTTGTGTTCATGTTGCGTAGTGTGTGTGCAAGTGTGCAAGTAGGCGAGCAATTAGGTGAGCAATTAGGTGTGCAAGTACGTCTCTAGATGGAAGGGTGTGGTAGTAAGGGGGGCCCAATCTCAGCCTTGCACGTGCTGTGGAGGCTGATCCCACTTCAAACCAAACACTGCTGCAGTCGCACCTGCTGAGCCATTCCAGCAGCAAGCGGTATTGTTCTTATGTGGATTGTGTGCTACGTCTCCCATCTGCCCGTACAACATGTATATTCCTAAGTTACAAGCACCCGCCATCACCACACCCTGAAGTGCCTCCACGCCAGGCCATCCAGCAGACTCAGCTCCTACCACCGCACAACCTCCCAAGCCATCCCCGCCGTCGGATGCGTCACATCATCCCCTGCTATGTCTCCCGTCGCTCGCTGCTGCCCGCTCCCCAACAGCTGCGTCCCTCGCTCCGCGCCAGCCCGCAATCTCCCCCTCGCCTTCTCGCAGAAAGCACGCCAATGCGCTTCCGCCCCTCTGCGCGTTTCCTCGACCGCCTCGCGCGCAGCCCCGATCAGACGCGCCGCCTGCAGCTGCAGCGCGCCAGAAGCACATCAGTCGAATACCTGCCCTTATTGCTACAGTGATACCTTACACTATAACGAGGCCTTGCACTGTAGCGACGCCTTACAAATGTAGCGACGCCCGTGACGGTGTGTTTCAAGTGGGGAGCCATGGGCCGTGCGGCCACCACCACTGCCGCGCCAGCAACCGCCGCTCCCGCCACGAGCAGCAACGTCCGCCATGGAATGAGCCCCTCGCCGTCTGCGTCGAACTCCCTCGCTCCCGGCGCTTTCCCGCCTGCCCGCCTCCGTTCGCTCGCCATTGCGGTCGATCGCCACGCTGCGACGGCCAGCCCTGCGACAAGCAGACCAGCGAGGTGCCGCTAACGCTCTCGCGCAGAGCGAAGGTCAAAAGGAAGCGGCTTTGACGGGCCATGCGACGACAGGCCGACGCACGGGTGGCGGGGCGGCTCCACGCCGTCGCGGCTGACTGCCGCGAGCGGCGTGACGAGGCTGGATGGATGGCTCGGTTTAGTCCGGTGAGGAGGCTCGGAGGATGGACGACATGCAGGAGTGGAGGGTGGAGCGTTGATGCCTCCAGCGCACTCCTACAGCAGTCCTCGTTACAAGTGAGCAGGTACGTGGTAAAGGCACAGCTGAGAAGAAAAATAAAATTTGTGCAGTTCGTTGCGTGGCCTTTCACCCCCTCCGTCTACTGAATTACGTGCGACATATGACCAACAACGACGGAAACGGCGAGATGATACAAACAGGTGGGTTCTAAAGAACGAAGGAATAGAGATGGCTCAACACAGCATATGGTAACCGTATATCCGCCTTATGGTTGTACTATTCCAAGGCCACCACTTGCGTTTCCACCAACTCGTTGACTAGAACATGTGGAAGGGCGAGGCAAGTCCCCTCCACCACCTGATCTCCTTTCACTTGGGGGTTCGCCCTTTCACTTGGGGGTTCGCCCTTTCACTTGGGGGTTCGCCCTCCGCAGCGCGCCCAGCGGCACCTGAGGGAGAGCAGCGCAACGCATGTGGGCATGCCATCCAATGGTCCACGGTCACAACGATGGGATCACAACGGGAGAGTGCAGCATCCATGCGGGATGGCGCATGGCGGGCAGATGGCGCATGGTGGGCAGATGGCGCATGGCGGGCAGATGGCGCATGGCGGGCAGATGGCGCATGGTGGGCAGATGGCGCATGGCGGGCAGATGGCGCATGGCGGGCAGATGGCGCATGGCGGGCAGATGGAGCATGGTGGGCAGATGGAGCATGGTGGGCAGATGGAGCATGGTGGGCAGATGGAGCATGGTGGGCAGATGGAGCATGGTGGGCAGATGGAGCATGGTGGGCAGATGGAGCATGGTGGGCAGATGGAGCATGGTGGGTAGATGGAGCATGGTGGGTGCCACACATAACACAGATTGCCCTGCAGCTCCTTGCTCCTCCTCACCCCCTTGCTCCTCCTCACCCCCTTGCTCCTCCTCCTCACCCCCTTGCTCCTCCTCACCCCTTGCTCCTCCTCACCCCCTTGCTCCTCCTCACCCCCTTGCTCCTCCTCACCCCCTTGCTCCTCCTCACCCCCTTGCTCCTCCTCACCCCCTTGCTCCTCCTCACCCCCTTGCTCCTCCTCACCCCCTTGCTCCTCCTCCTCACCCCCTTGCTCCTCCTCACCCCCTTGCTCCTCCTCACCCCCTTGCTCCTCCTCACCCCCTTGCTCCTCCTCATCCCCTTGCTCCTCCTCACCCCTGCCTCATCTCATGTGCTTCCAGCACCTGCTGTTGCCGTGCCATGCCCCACAAGCTGTCCTCTTCCTTCACACGCACCCGCGCACCAGCATCCACCACCAGAGTCTCGATCCTCCCACTCACTGCGCCCCTCACTGCGCCCTGCACCCCGCTCCCCACCTCCGCACTCCGTGCCACCACCTGCCACCCGGTCTGCCGCCAGGCCTCCGCCACCTCCTGAACGGCTTCTGCCATCCCCTGCACCGCGCCTGCCACCTCCTGCGCCACCTCAGCACCCACCGTGCTGGCCCCCACTGCCGCGTCCTCCACTGCCCCCCCCACTGAGGCCACTGCTTCCCCCACAGAGAAAACTGCTTCCCCAACGGACGCTGCTGCCTGGCTGATGGTCGCATGGGCCTTTCCCACTGCCCGAATCACACGCACCTGCAGCACAGGGAAACAGAAGGGCACGTGGAAGGAAATCTAGGTAAATTCACTGCGGTGGGTGCTGCTATTGTTTTTTTTTTTTTTCCCCAGTTGTTGGAATCAACTGGGAGGGAACAGAAAGCGGTATACCGGTATTACCCGTTTTAACTCACTGTGTCCTTGATCCCGACAGCAGTGAGCTTCGCAGTCTCCAGCACCTGCCGTTCCTCTGCCCGGTGTTTCAGGTATGCAGCCACCATGGCTACCGCACCCACCACCCCGGCCACGCAGATCGCACGCCATGCCCCCGGTGGAACGCGCCACAGGCCATCATGGCCTCCTTGGGGAGGGCTACTCCCATCGGCAGGCCTGGAATCGGATCGACCATCGCCGTTTTTCGCCATGGCAATCAGATTCCTGTGCACTGATCTCTGGCGGGACACATGAATGAGCGGGTGAAACCAAGACAATTTCTGTGCTCAGTGAGGGCGGGCGAATGCTAAGTGCAGCCGGTAGGAGAATTTGGGAATTCGGGAAGTGAAATGTGTTGTAACATTGTTTGGCGAAATTGGCGATTGTTTTGGCACGAAGTCGTTCGGTCTGTTCAAAGTTTGACCCGACAGCACAGCTCCACCCGCTAGCTCATGGGCGTGCCACGTGCAACTTGATGTGTATGTGACGTCATTCCAGCGTGGCTCCATCCACTCTCCTTCCCGTTATGCCCCCCTCCTCTCCATGCTGGAATTGAATCTCCTCTTTCCCGCGTGAGAATGGCTGAATCCAAAATTGGGCCCGGCGCGCTTTGCAGCTTCGCAATCGGACATTTCGAGAGAAGGTCGGGCCACACGCGCCTCGATTCAAAATCCCCAACCCACGCTTCCCAATCTTCGCCCGCATCCCGCCTCGCTGACTCGCCCCTCCTCTCTTTCTTCCGTCTGATGCCTTCACTCCTGCACTTTCTTGATTCCACGCGAAACTAGGCGCCATGTTGTGGCAGCAGAACTACTCATTCAAGTCTCGACGTTTTAGTGCCATCGAGTTACCATAATGGCGAGCATCCTATCGACACGAAACTACTCGTTCTAGTCTCAGACACGTTATATCGCGTCGTTAACATCATGGCTAGCATCCGACTAATCCAGCCGCGTCACGTCGGAGTGCCGTTCACTCCCTGTGAGCGGAGCCCGTCACGCGAAGGTAGCCGTTCATTAGCATGGAATAGCAGCGAGTGCTGGCGAGCGTCGACTCTTCGTCCATGCATCAGCTTCCTCTCCCATTCGCGCGTCACACACACGGTCCGCAGCCGCCGGTGTCATATAGCGTGCGCTTCCGCCACCCCATGGCGCACGAGAGGCATTTTCCCAAACCCCTTCGACCGCCACCCTCCCCTATTCCCCCTCACTCCAATCCCCGCTCTCGCCGCGCTTATCGCTCCCACTCGTCCACGTGTCGCCTGTTCAGCGCACATCGCTGCGACAGCGCCGCGTCGCCTTCGCGTTTTCGCAACGGCCTCGTCGCCTTCCGTGAGGGGGTCGCCTTCTGTGGCGCCTCATATGTCGTCTTCTGTGAGCGGGGCGAAGAGCGCGACGACGGCGACGACGTTGACGACGGACGGTAAAGGCGGGCTCAAGGTGGGTGGCGAGGAGTCATCGGAGGGCCTTCAGCAGCCTGGAGAGGTGGTGGGCGCCACGTCATCATCATCTGAGCTGGCCGGCGAGGTGGTGGACGCCACGTCAGCGCAGAGAGGCCACCTGGACGTGTCGCGACACAACCTGCCGCTCTGCCGCATTGTCAACCAGGTAGTGCCCCGGAGGGGTACACGTGGCAGTGGCGGGGTAGGCGAGGGAGGGAGGGAGGGAGGGAGGGAGGGAGGGAGGGAGGGAGGGGGAGGGGGGGGGGGGGGAGGGAGGGAGGGAGGGAGGGAGGGAGGGAGGGAGGGAGGGAGGGAGGGGTGGGGGGGGGGGGGGGGAGGGAGGGAGGGAGAGAGAGAGAGAGAGAGAGAGGGAGATAGGCAGGCAGGCAACGATGAGCGCACGAGAGGAGGGTAGGACGACAGAATGTGAGTGCTTATCGGCTTGAGCATGGAGGGGCGACAGGACCACCGTCCTGCACCTCCCCCTTCCTTCATACCCTCTGGTGATGGCCGACCGAGCGACCAGGGAGATCACTCTAAGCATACTGCCGCGCCAACAATGCAGTTCACTCCACTTTCCCCCCCCCTCCCCCTTCCCCCTCCCCTCCCCTCCCCCCGCTTCCAGGCAGGAGCGAGATGGGCGGTATCAGCAGGGGGCAGCAGCGAGGATGCTGACCTGGGCGGAGTGGCATGGGTGGGGGACAATAGCACGGCCACGACTCCCTCTCCCCCTCTCCCCCTCTCCCTCTCCCTCTCTCCCTCTTCCCCCCCCAGGCAGCAGTGAAAGAGGCACTCCTGGCAGCAGCGGTGGACCCCGAGCTGGGAGGCGTGGCGCTGGTGGGCGGGCACGGCACGGGCAAGACGGTCATGGCGCGCAGCCTGCAGCAGCTGCTGCCGCCCATTGCTGTCGTCACGGGCAGCTGGGCCAACGCGGACCCCACGAGACCCGAGGAGTGAGTGCTGAGGGAGTTGAGGGAAGCAGAAGGGGGGCGTGCAAAACGCAGCAGCTGCCACCGCCCATGGGGGTCGTCACTGGCAGCTGGGCCGACGCGGATCTGTTGGGGCTGGAAGAGTGCGCGAGGGGGAAGCTGAGAGCTGTGGAGTGCGCTGAGGCAGTATATGCATGGAGTGCGCTGAGGCAGTATATGCATGGAGTGCGCTGAGGCAGTATATGCATGGAGTGCGCTGAGGCAGTATATGCATGGAGTGCGCTGAGGCAGTATATGCATGGAGTGCGCTGAGGCAGTATATGCATGGAGTGCGCTGAGGCAGTATATGCATGGAGTGCGCTGAGGCAGTATATGCATGGAGTGCGCTGAGGCAGTATATGCATGGAGTGCGCTGAGGCAGTATATGCATGGAGTGCGCTGAGGCAGTATATGCATGGAGTGCGCTGAGGCAGTATATGCATGGAGTGCGCTGAGGCAGTATATGCATGGAGTGCGCTGAGGCAGTATATGCATGGAGTGCGCTGAGGCAGTATATGCATGGAGTGCGCTGAGGCAGTATATGCATGGAGTGTGGGAGTGCGGGAGTGGGACTGTTGAGAATGTACGAGGGAAGGTAAGAAGGATAATGTGCAAACTTGATGCGTAAGACTTAGTTTCGTTGCATTCGTGCGTGCAAGTGTCCGTGCATGTGTCTGGGCATGTGTCTGGGCATGTGTGCGTGTGCATGAGCAGGTGGGAGGACGGTTTGAGGGAGAGCGTCAAGGAGCAGGGCTTTGACATACGCCGCCCACCCATCACCCTCTGCAATCCGCCCTTCGTTCAGGTGCACCCTGCCACGCCATGCCATGCCAAACCATGGCATGCCACGCCACGCCATGCCATGCCACGCCACGCCACGCCATGCCATGCCATGCCATGCCATCCTCTCTCACTGTGCTCTCGCCCCCACTATTGCCACCCCCTCATCTCCCCCCTACTCTTCCCCAGGTGCCCTTGACAATCTCGGAGGATCGTCTGCCCGGGGCAGTGGGCGGGGAGGGCGCTCTCACCACGCGCCCTCCTCCCCATTCCCCTCCACGCCTGCCGTCCCCAAGGCCACGCCGTTAGGGCCCTCGGGGCGTGGCGCCGCATCGGCTGCTGGGGTCGGTGGAAGGGGAGGTGCCCTTCCCACCCGAGGCCCAGTGCGTGCGGCGCCCCACTCCCTCAGGTGCCCGTGGGAGTCCGGGTGACCGTCTGCGTGCTTCGGTGGGCGTGGAGCATAATCCCACGGCGCCTTCTCCCGCCACCGCCACCCCCTGCTCCCCCCCTGCTCTCCCCCTGCTCTCCCCCTGTTCGCCCCCAGGTGCCTCTGGGAGTGACGGAGGACCGTCTGCTGGGGTCGGTGGACGTGGAGGCGTCCATCGATGAGGGCAGGAGCGTCTTCCTGCCGGGCCTGCTCGCACGTGAGTGATGAAGGGGGGTCGCTCGCACGTGAGTGTAAAGGGGCTGCTGCACGTGAGGAAGAAGCGACAAGTGTGGCGTTATCCAATGCGAGAGAAAGCAGCCGGGATGATAGGGGCGAGCACGAGCGTGAGCGTTCTCAGGGCTGGGCTCGCTGGCATGGAGTTTGGTATCTCGCGCCCTTCCTCGTGCAATGGCATTGCACACGAGTACTAGAGCACGTCTTGCCTTGAAAAACGTGTATACGAGCTCATAGCATGCGCCCCATAGCATGCGCCCCATAGCATGCGCCCCATGGCATGCGCCCCATGGCATGCGCCCCATAGCATGCGCCCCATGGCATGCGCCCCATAGCATGCGCCCCATGGCATGCGCCCCATAGCATGCGCCCCATAGCATGCGCCCCATGGCATGCGCCCCATGGCATGCGCCCCATAGCATGCGCCCCATGGCATGCGCCCCATAGCATGCGCCCCATGGCATGCGCCCCATAGCATGCGCCCCATAGCATGCCCCCCATGGCATGCGCCCCATAGCATGCGCCCCATGGCATGCGCCCCATAGCATGCGCCCCATGGCATGCGCCCATAGCATGCGCCCCATAGCATGCGCCCCATAGCATGCGCCCCATAGCATGCGCCCCATAGCATGCGCCCCATAGCATGCGCCCCATAGCATGCGCCCCATGGCATGCGCCCCATAGCATGCGCCCCATAGCATGCGCCCCATGGCATGCGCCCCATAGCATGCGCCCCATAGCATGCGCCCCATAGCATGCGCCCCATAGCATGCGCCCCATGGCATGCGCCCCATAGCATGCGCCCCATGGCATGCGCCCCATAGCATGCGCCCCATAGCATGCGCCCCATGGCATGCGCCCCATAGCATGCGCCCCATAGCATGCGCCCCATAGCATGCGCCCCCATGGCATGCGCCCCCATAGCATGCGCCCCCATGGCATGCGCCCCATAGGCATGCGCCCCATAGCATGCGCCCCATGGCATGCGCCCCATGGCATGCGCCCCATAGCATGCGCCCCATGGCATGCGCCCCATAGCATGCGCCCCATGGCATGCGCCCCATAGCATGCGCCCCATAGCATGCCCCCCATGGCATGCGCCCCATAGCATGCGCCCCATAGCATGCGCCCCATAGCATGCGCCCCATAGCATGCGCCCCATAGCATGCGCCCCATAGCATGCGCCCCATAGCATGCGCCCCATAGCATGCGCCCCATAGCATGCGCCCCATAGCATGCGCCCCATAGCATGCGCCCCATAGCATGCGCCCCATAGCATGCGCCCCATAGCATGCGCCCCATAGCATGCGCCCCATAGCATGCGCCCCATAGCATGCGCCCCATAGCATGCGCCCATGCATGCGCCCCATAGCATGCGCCCCATAGCATGCGCCCCATAGCATGCGCCCCATAGCATGCGCCCCATGGCATGCGCCCCATGGCATGCGCCCCATGGCATGCGCCCCATAGCATGCGCCCCATAGCATGCGCCCCATAGCATGCGCCCCATAGCATGCGCCCCATAGCATGCGCCCATAGCATGCGCCCATAGCATGCGCCCCAGCATGCGCCCCATGGCATGCGCCCCATGCAGCGCCCCATAGCATGCGCCCCATAGCATGCGCCCCATAGCATGCGCCCCATAGCATGCGCCCCATAGCATGCGCCCCATAGCATGCGCCCCATAGCATGCGCCCCATGGCATGCGCCCCATGGCATGCGCCCCATAGCATACGCCCCATGGCATGCGCCCCATAGCATGCGCCCCATGGCATGCGCCCCATGGGCATGCGCCCCATGGCATGCGCCCATAGCATGCGCCCCATAGCATGCGCCCCATAGCATGCGCCCCATAGCATGCGCCCCATAGCATGCGCCCCATAGCATGCGCCCCATGGCATGCGCCCCATAGCATGCGCCCCATAGCATGCGCCCCATGGCATGCGCCCCATAGCATGCGCCCCATAGCATGCGCCCATAGCATGCGCCCCATAGCATGCGCCCCATGGCATGCGCCCCATAGCATGCGCCCCATGGCATGCGCCCCATAGCATGCGCCCCATAGCATGCGCCCCATGGCATGCGCCCCATGGCATGCGCCCCATAGCATGCGCCCCATGGCATGCGCCCCATAGCATGCGCCCCATGGCATGCGCCCCATAGCATGCGCCCCATAGCATGCCCCCCATGGCATGCGCCCCATAGCATGGCCCCATGGCGGCCCCATAGCATGCGCCCCATGGCATGCGCCCCATAGCATGCGCGGCGGCCCCATAGCATGCGCCCCATAGCATGCGCCCCATAGCATGCGCCCCATAGCATGCGCCCCATAGCATGCGCCCCATGGCATGCGCCCCATAGCATGCGCCCCATGGCATGCGCCCCATGGCATGCGCCCCATAGCATGCGCCCCATAGCATGCGCCCCATAGCATGCGCCCCATAGCATGCGCCCCATAGCATGCGCCCCATAGCATGCGCCCCATGGCATGCGCCCCATAGCATGCGCCCCATAGCATGCGCCCCATAGCATGCGCCCCATAGCATGCGCCCCATAGCATGCGCCCCATAGCATGCGCCCCATAGCATGCGCCCCATAGCATGCGCCCCATAGCATGCGCCCCATAGCATGCGCCCCATAGCATGCGCCCCATAGGCATGCGCCCCCATAGCATGCGCCCCATAGCATGCGCCCATAGCATGCGCCCCATAGCATGCGCCCCATAGCATGCGCCCCATAGCATGCGCCCCATGGCATGCGCCCCATAGCATGCGCCCCATAGCATGCGCCCCATGGCATGCGCCCCATAGCATGCGCCCAATAGCATGCGCCCCATAGCATGCGCCCCATAGCATGCGCCCCATAGCATGCGCCCCATAGCATGCGCCCATAGCATGCGCCCCATGGCATGCGCCCCATAGCATGCGCCCATAGCATGCGCCCCATGGCATGCGCCCCATAGCATGCGCCCCATAGCATTGCGCCCCATGGCATGCGCCCCATAGCATGCGCCCCATGGCATGCGCCCCATAGGCATGCGCCCCATAGCATGCGCCCCATAGCATGCGCCCCATAGCATGCGCCCCATAGCATGCGCCCCATGGCATGCGCCCCATAGCATGCGCCCCATGGATCGCCCCATGGCATGCGCCCCATGGCATGCGCCCCATAGCATGCGCCCCATAGCATGCGCCCCATAGCATGCGCCCCATAGCATGCGCCCCATAGCATGCGCCCCATAGCATGCGCCCCATGGCATGCGCCCCATAGCATGCGCCCATAGCATGCGCCCATAGCATGGGCCCCATAGCATGCGCCCATAGCATGCGCCCCATAGCATGCGCCCCATAGCATGCGCCCCATAGCATGCGCCCATGGCATGCGCCCCATGGCATGCGCCCCATAGCATGCGCCCCATAGCATGCGCCCCATAGCATGCGCCCCATAGCATGCGCCCCATAGCATGCGCCCCATAGCATGCGCCCCATAGCATGCGCCCCATAGCATGCGCCCCATAGCATGCGCCCCATAGCATGCGCCCCATAGCATGCGCCCCATGGCATGCGCCCCATGGCATGCGCCCCATAGCATGCGCCCCATAGCATGCGCCCCATAGCATGCGCCCCATAGCATGCGCCCCATGCATGCGCCCCATGGCATGCGCCCATGGCATGCGCCCCATGGCATGCGCCCCATAGCATGCCCATAGCATGCGCCCCATAGCATGCGCCCCATAGCATGCGCCCATAGCATGCGCCCCATAGCATGCGCCCCATAGCATGCGCCCATAGCATGTGCTTCTGCTGGCCCGGCACCCCATAGCATGTGCTTCTGCTGGCCCGGCATGTTGTGTGAGCAACATCTTCACTGCCCCACAGCACCACTTGCTCGTAGCGGCACAGAGAAGCATACGAGGTACCACACTCAACCAAGCCAATCCAGCCCCGAAGCCCTTTGTGCTTGGCTGTCCACCACTCCGACATGGGGCTGTCGCGCTAGTCCTGCCGTCCATGGCGCGCCTTCACTCCTCTGCATGAGCCCGCTCATCCCTCTCACACGCTCTGCTGCATTCCAGACCAAACTCGGTAGCTTCTCTCCACGCCCTGGTGCCCTCCCCTGAACCACTGCCATTCCTCCATCAACCGTCCGTTCACTGCAGCCCCCCTGCCCCATAGCCCCCCCCCCTGCCCCATAGCCCCCTCCCCCTGCCCCATAGCCCCCTCCCCCTGCCCCATAGCCCCCTCCGCCTGCCTCATAGCCCCCTCCCCCTGCCCCATAGCCCCCTCCCCCTGCTCATAGCCCCCTCCCCCTGCCCCATAGCCCCTCCCCCTGCCTCATAGCCCCCTCCGCCTGCCCCATAGCCCCCTCCCCCTGCCTCATAGCCCCCTCTCCCTGCCCCATAGCCCCCTCCCCCTGCCTCATAGCCCCTCCCCCTGCCCCATAGCCCCCTCCCCCTGCCTCATAGCCCCCTCCGCTGCCCCATAGCCCCCTCCCCCTGCCTCATAGCCCCCTCCCCCTGCCCCATAGCCCCCTCCGCCTGCCCCATAGCCCCTCCCCCTGCCCATAGCCCCCTCCCCTGCCCCATAGCCCCCTCCCCTGCCCCATAGCCCCCTCCCCCTGCCCCATAGCCCCCTCCGCCTGCCTCATAGCCCCCTCCCCTGCCCCATAGCCCCCTCCGCCTGCCTCATAGCCCCCTCCCCTGCCCCATAGCCCCCTCCCCCTGCCCCATAGCCCCCTCCCCTGCCCCATAGCCCCCTCCGCCTGCCTCATAGCCCCCTCCCCCTGCCCCATAGCCCCCTCCCCTGCCTCATAGGCCCCTCCGCCTGCCTCATAGCCCCCTCCCCCTGCCCCATAGCCCCCTCCCCTGCCCCATAGCCCCTCCGCCTGCCCCATAGCCCCCTCCCCCTGCCCATAGCCCCCACCGCCTGCCTCATAGCCCCTTCCCCCTGCCCCATAGCCCCCTCCGCCTGCCTCATAGCCCCCTCCCCTGCCTCATAGCCCCCTCCCCCTGCCTCATAGCCCCCTCCCCTCCCCATAGCCCCCTCCGCCTGCCTCATAGCCCCTTCCCCCTGCCCATAGCCCCTCCGCCTGCCTCATAGCCCCCTCCCCCTGCCTCATAGCCCCCTCCCCCTGCCTCATAGCCCCTCCGCCTGCCCACCTCTGTAGGTGGACGCCATCAAGCCATGGATTCGTCTAAGGCTCGTTACTCTTGGCCTTGTGCTCCCTTGCCCCCCAACATACACGCATCGCCCCTCCCTCCTTCTCACTGCCATGGACTCGCTGCTCTGCGCCCCTCCATCCCGCATTACCCCCAACATGCACGCATCACCTTCATTTCTCCCCCCTCTCCCCCTCAGACTGCCACAGGGGCGTGCTGTACACTGACGACGTCAACGTGGCCGGCACCATGGGCCCGCCGCTCTTCACGCCCTTCCCCTCCGTGTTGGGTCACGCACGGACATGCGCCCATCCCCCCCATCACCCCCATCGCCCCCATGTGCTGTACATGGGGCGTCAACTTGCTTGAGGACGTCACGGGGTTGCTGCTCGTCATCCTTCTCTTTTACCGTGTATGTGTCCCCCCCAAACCATCTCCCCCCCACACCATCTCCCCCCCACACCATCTCCCCGCCCCCAGAGTGCCACAGGGGCGTGCTGTACATAGACGACGCCAACCTGCTGGACGACACCATGGGTCCTTGCTCTTCGCATCGCTGGCGGACGGCAGCAGCACGGTGGAGCGCGAGGGGCTATCGGTGCGCCACGCGTGCCGGCCGCTGCTGCTGGCGTCGTTCAACGCGGAAGAGGCATGCTCAGGCGCCACCTGCTCGACCGGATTGCACTCATTGTCAGGTGAGAGGGGCGGTGGAGAGGGGTGCTGAGGGGTGCTGAGGGGTGCTGAGGGGTGCTGTGGCGACGCTTGCTGGACAGGATTGCGCTGATTGTGAGGTGTGACACATGGCGGAAGACAGGGAACTCTCCGTGCCCCTGCGTGCTGCCCCTGCGTGCTGCCCCTGCGTGCTGCCCCTGCGTGCTGGCCCTGCGTGCTGGCCCTGCGTGCTGGCCCTGCGTGCTGGCCCTGCGTGCTGGCCCTGCATGCTGCCCCTACGTGCTGCCCCTGCGTGCTGCTGGCGTCACTCAAATCAGAAGGAGGAAGAAGGGGCGCTGAGACGGCAGTTTGAGGTGAGACGCGTGGTGTAGAGTGGGGTTAGTGGTGCTGAGGGGTGCTGAGGCGGCAGCTACTAGGCTGGATTGCGCTAATTGTGAGGCGTGGGGGGGCGCCTGGGGTGTTGAACGGAAGGCGAGCATTAAGGGCTCCCTGCTCTGCGCCTGCTGCCCGCTGCTGCTGGCGTCGATCAATGCGGAGTGAACTGGCGAGTTTGTTAGCATTTGCTCAACAAGATTGCACTTACTGTGAGGTGAGGTGAGGTGGGAGTGGAGAAGGAGGCGGAGGGATAGCGTGCAGCGATGAGGAGTGTCACTGTGATGCGCTGCTCAGCGATGAGGAGTGCCACTGTGATGCGCTGCTCAGCGTTGGCATTGGTGGGGCACCTCTTTTCACTGCGCTTCCTTGTGCCCTGCGAATGCTGCTTTCCTCAGCGTTGGCTTTTCCTTTCGTGCCCCTGGCCGCGTGATTGCATGGCCTCAATGCGTGATTGCATGGCCTGAATGCATGTGCATCGTCATCCTACATGTGTCCGTGCATGTGCATCGTCATCCTACACGTATCCGTGCATGTGCCTGCCACGTCAGCACGGATGCGCCTCTCTCATTGGAGCAGCGGGTGGCAGCAGCTGACGTGGCGAACACGTATCTGGACGGCAGACGTGCGACAGGGGGAGGGGATAAGGGGCATGTGAGAGGAAAGGGGGGCATGAGATTGGAGGACGAGAAAGAGGAAGAGCGAGTGGAGCGAGAGGAGGAGGGGAGTGTGGAGAAGGGGGCGGACGAGGAGCGAGAGGAGGACGGGGTGGAGGCGGATCGTTTGCGAGTGCTGTTTGCCCGCCAGCTGCTGCCACGTGTCACCATCTCACAGGCCCAGATAGCCTTCCTGGTGGACGCCGCTGTGCAGCTGGAATGCGAGGTGAGATGCGGTGCAGTGCGGTGGCATGAGGTGCGGTGCAATGGTAGTGCAACGCAGTGAGATCCAGCGAGAGTCTCAGAGCAAGGGGTGTATGAGGATGGATGGCATCGCATGGGGCGCAGCACCTGTCTCGAGTGGCGGGCGTTCATCGCCTCTCCTCTCTCTTCCTCGTCCGGCTGCTGCTCTCCATCATGCCACGTGTAACCATCTCAGGAGCTGCCGCTCATGCACAGAACATGTGTAGCCCACCCCATGCAACACGCCATGCAATCCCAATACCCTCCCCACCCTACACCACCACCAACCCCCCCAGGGCCAGAGAGCGGAGCTGTTTGCAGTGCGAGCAGCCAAGGCCCTGGCAGCCCTCAACGGGCGGTCGCAGGTCACCCAGGCGGATCTCTCCCGTGCTGTGAGCATGTCGGAGGGGGGGTGTGTGGGCGCGTGTGAGGGCGTGGTTCGGGGGGTGTGTGAAACACGCATGCTCACACCATACATGCATGCTCACTCCATACATGCATGCTCACTCCATACATGCATGCTCACACCATACACGCATGCTCACACCATACATGCATGCTCACTCCATACAGGCATGCTCACACCATACATGCATGCTCACACCATACATGCATGCTCACACCATACACGCATGCTCACACCATACACGCATGCTCACACCATACACGCATGCTCACACCATACACGCATGCTCACACCATACATGCATGCTCACTCCATACACGCATGCCAACATCATACATGCATGCTCACACCATACATGCATGCTCACACCATACACGCATGCTCACTCCATACACGCATGCCAACATCATACATGCATGCTTACACCATGCATGCAGCTATACCGCCAGTAACCTCTGCCCCATGCCACATGCCACATGCCCCCCCAAATCCCATCAACCGATGATACAGGCCCAGCTGGCAGTGGTGCCACGTGCCACAGTGTCATTGGACAGCGAGCCTGCAAGCAGCACCCCCCAGTCGTCTCGGCCAGTGCCCCCTCCGCCCAGCCGGCGGAAGGAGGAGAGCAACGAGGAGCAGCAGGAGGAGCAGGAGGGCGAGGTGAGGGGGGGAGGATGGGGGGGGAATGGGGGGGAGAGGAGGGAGAGAGTAGAATGTGAGCAGTACCCCCAACTCAAAGCTGACAGCAGGAGGAGAGCAACGAGGAGCGCAGGAGGAGCAGGAGGGCGAGGTGAGGAGGGGGGGAAGGGGGTTTAAGAGAAGAGAGTAAAATGTGAGTAGCGGGAGAAACTCATCCCTGCTTCTCCCAGTCGACTCGGCAGTGCCCCCTCCCTCCAGCCAGCAGCAGGAGGAGAGCCACAAAGAGCAGCAGGAGGAGAGCCACAAAGAGCAGCAGGAGGAGAGCCACAAAGAGCAGCAGGAGGAGCAGGAGGCACAGGTGGAAGGGTGGGGGGGGGTTTGGGTGAGGGAGGGATGAAGTGTATAGGCTAGCGGGAGGGCTAGCGGGAGGGCTAGCGGGAGGGCTAGCGGGAGGGCAGCGGGAGGGCTAGCGAGCGGGAGGGCTAGCGGGAGGGCTAGCGGGAGGGCTAGCGGGAGGGCTAGCGGGAGGGCTAGCGGGAGGGCTAGCGGGAGGGCTAGCGGGAGGGCTAGCGGGAGGGCTAGCGGGAGGGCTAGCGGGAGGGCTAGCGGGAGGGCTAGCGGGAGGGCTAGCGGGAGGCTAGCGGGAGGGCTAGCGGAGGGCTAGCGGGAGGGCTAGCGGGAGGGCTAGCGGGAGGGCTAGCGGGAGGGCTAGCGGGAGGCTAGCGGGAGGGCTAGCGGGAGGGCTAGCGGGAGGGCTAGCGGGAGGGCTAGCGGGAGGGCTAGCGGGAGGGCTAGCGGGAGGGCTAGCGGGAGGGCTAGCGGGAGGGCTAGCGGGAGGGCTAGCGGGAGGGCTAGCGGGCGGGCTAGCGGGAGGGCTAGCGGGAGGGCTAGCGGGAGGGCTAGCGGGAGGGCTAGCGGGAGGGCTAGCGGGAGGGCTAGCGGGAGGGCTAGCGGGAGGGCTAGCGGGAGGGCTAGCGGGAGGGCTAGCGGGAGGGCTAGCGGGAGGGCTAGCGGGAGGGCTAGCGGAGGCTAGCGGGAGGGCTAGCGGGAGGGCTAGCGGGAGGGCTAGCGGGAGGGCTAGCGGGAGGGCTAGCGGGAGGGCTAGCGGCGCACGCGTAAAGGAGAAACGAGGTGGGAGGGGGATGAGGTCTTGGGGGTGGTAACACGGCACGAGTTGAGCACACGAGTTGAGGCGCCTTAGCATGACTGTCTTGACTGTCTTGCCATGAGGGGCATTGCTGCCATGGCGAGCTCGTGAGGGGCATTGCTGCCATGGCGAGCTCGTGAGGGGCATTGCTGCCATGGCGAGCTCGTGAGGGGCATTGCTGCCATGGCGAGCTCGTGAGGGGCATTTGCTGCCATGGCGAGCTCGTGAGGGGCATTGCTGCCATGGCGAGCTCGTGAGGGGCATTGCTGCCATGGCGAGCTCGTGAGGGGCATTGCTGCCATGGCGAGCTCGTGAGGGGCATTGCTGCCATGGCGAGCTCGTGAGGGGCATTGCTGCCATGGCGAGCTCGTGAGGGGCATTGCTGCCATGGCGAGCTCGTGAGGGGCATTGCTGCCATGGCGAGCTCGTGAGGGGCATTGCTGCCATGGCGAGCTCGTGAGGGGCATGCTGCATGGCGAGCTCGTGAGGGCATTGCTGCATGGCGAGCTCGTGAGGGGCATTGCTGCCACGGCGAGCTGGTGAGGGGCATTGCTGCCACGGCGTGCTCGTGAGGGGCATTGCTGCCATGGCGAGCTCGTGAGGGGCATTGCTGCCAACGGGGAAGGGGGATGGACGGTGGGAAGGGCGGCGGCGTGTGTTGGGCCTGGATTGGATTGTGAGGGCAGCACAGCGCGAGACGTCCGGCTTTGCTGCTGCGGCAACACCACGCCTTCCCTCACCCTCTGCACCATCTCACCCTCCTCTCTCCGTTCTCCCCCACCTTCTCCCAGCCCCTGCAGCGGACGAGGACCAGCTGGAGCCGGTGTCCGTGGTGGAGGCGGCGGAGGACATGCAGCTGGATGCACCTCCCGGCTCGACGCCGCATGCTTCCAGCTCGACCCGGCTCACATCATGCTCTCCCTCCACGCTTCCTCCCCCTCTCCCTCCACGCTTCTTCCCCCTCTCCCTCCAAGCTTCCTCCCCTCTCCCTCCACGCTTCCTCCCCCTCTCCCTCCACGCTTCCTCCCCTCTCCCTCCACGCTTCCTCCCCCTCTCCCTCCAAGCTTCCTCCCCCTCTCCCTCCACGCTTCCTCCCCCTCCCTCCACTCTTCCTCCCCTCCTCTCCCTCCACGCTTCCTCCCCCTCTCCCTCCACGCTTCCTCCCCCTCTCCCTCCACGCTTCCTCCCCCTCTCCCTCCACGCTTCCTCCCCCTCTCCCTCCACGCTTCCTCCCCCTCTCCCTCCACGCTTCCCCCCCTCTCCCTCCACGCTTCCTCCCCTCTCCCTCCACGCTTCCTCCCCCTCTCCCTCCACGCTTCCTCCCCCTCTCCCTCCAAGCTTCCTCCCCTCTCCCTCCACGCTTCCTCCCCCTCTCCCTCCAAGCTTCCTCCCCCTCTCCCTCCACGCTTCCTCCCCCTCTCCCTCCACGCTTCCTCCCCCTCTCCCTCCACGCTTCCTCCCCCTCTCCCTCCACGCTTTCCCCCCTCTCCCTCCACGCTTCCTCCCCCTCTCCCTCCACGCTCCTCCCCCTCTCCCTCCACGCTTCCTCCCCCTCTCCCTCCACGCTTCCTCCCCTCTCCCCTCCACGCTTCTCCCCCTCTCCCCTCCAAGCTTCCCTCCCCTCTCCCTCCACGCTTCCTCCCCCTCTCCCTCCACGCTTCCTCCCCCTCTCCCTCCAAGCTTCCTCCCCCTCTCCCTCCCCCTCTCCCTCCACGCTTCTCCCCTCTCCCTCCACGCTTCCTCCCCCTCTCCCTCCACGCTTCTCCCCCTCTCCCTCCACGCTTCCTCCCCCTCTCCCTCCACGCTTCCTCCCCCTCTCCCTCCACGCTTCCTCCCCCTCTCCCTCCACGCTTCCTCCCCCCTCTTCCCTCACGCTTCCTCCCCCTCTCCCTCCACGCTTCCTCCCCCTCTCCCTCCACGCTTCCTCCCCCTCTCCCTCCAAGCTTCCTCCCCCTCTCCCTCCACGCTTCCTCCCCCTCTCCCTCCACGCTTCCTCTCCCTCCAACCCTCCCTCTCCCTCCACGCTTCCTCCCCCTCTCCCTCCACGCTTCCTCCCCCTCTCCCTCCACGCTTCCTCCCCCTCTCCCTCCACGCTTCCTCCCCCTCTCCCCACGCTCCCCCCTCTCCCTCCACGCTTCCTCCCCCTCTCCTCCACGCTTCCTCCCCCTCTCCCTCCACGCTCCCCCCTCTCCCTCCACGCTTCCTCCCCCTCTCCCTCCACGCTTCCTCCCCTCTCCCTGCTCCCATCTCCCCCTCTCCCTGCTCCCATCTCCCCCTCTCCCTGCTCCCATCTCCCCCTCTCCCTGCTCCCATCTTCCCTCTCCCTGCTGCCATCTCCCCCTCTCCCTGCTCCCATCTCCCCTCTCCCTTCTCCCATCTCCCCCTCTCCCAGGCTCCCTCACCGGACGAGGGCCAGTAGCTGCCGCCCCTTCCCACCGCACTTCCCATCGCCCTTCCCACCGCCCTTCCCACCGCCCTTACCACTCTGCCCCCGCGCTCCTGCACTCCCCACCTCCTCTCCAACCCTTCCCCCCTCCCCCACCTCCCAGCCCCCTGCAGCAGACGAGGACCAGCTGGTGCCAGCGTCCTTCGTGGTTGCAGCAGAGGACACCCGCCTTGACGCTGCCCGCCCTGCAAATGTTTCAGCGGGGCTGCCCGGACCGCGGGCGGGGCAGGGCGGTCAAAGAACAAGATATTTTCAGAGGAGCGCGGGCGATATGTGAAGGCTCTGCTGCCCAAGGGCAAGGTGGGTGGTGGCATCGCTAGTGCTACCGTGAAGGGGAGAGATGTGGCGCAGTGTGTGGTGCACTGAGGGGAGAGTTGGGAGTGGTGTGCGGTGCAGGGAAGTGCTGTGTGGCGAATGGATGCCATTGTGGGTTGCGGTGGGTGGTGGAGGGAGAGGCCGTGGCCATGCGGGTGGGTTCCTCTCTCACTCCAGCCACATCTAACCGCACTTCGCCCCGTTGCTTCATGTCTGGTGTGCCTTGCTTTCAACCCCCCTCCCCCGCCCCTCTTCACCCGCCTGGCCCCCGCAGGTGGTGCGTCTGGCAGTGGACGCCACGCTGAGGGCGGCAGCGCCGCTGCAGCGACTGAGGCGGGAACGAGCGCAGAGGGCGGGCGGCAGGGAGAGGCGCATCTACGTCACCAAGAGCGACCTCCGGAGGAAACTGCTGGCGCGCCGAGCTTCATCCCTGGTGGGTGCCCCGTCCCTGGTGGGTGCCCCGTCTCTGGTGGGTGCAGGGTTATTAGTGAGGTGTGTGTGTGTGAGCGGGGAGAGGAGGGGGAGAGGCGTGTCAGCGCGTGCACATGTGCGCCGGAGAAGGTGGGGCAGAAGAAAGAGTGATTGTGGAGGGGAGAGGTTGCGGAGTGGCATGTCAGCGCGTGCACGTGTGCGCCCGAGAAGGTGCATTCTCTGGAGGGGAGAATGGCGGTGGTGTAACCGTGTGTCAGCCGTGCAGAGCGCCGCCTCGTGTGACTATTGGATGATTGTGTCACGTGGGAAGATGGCACGGCACACTGCTGCATGCCGATGCACGCCTGAACGGCCTTGCACTAATCATCTTCTGCCCTGCCCAGCATGGTTATGAGATGTACTGGGTGGTGTCTCGTTGCCACTCCTATGTTCCCTATAAGGGCGAGTCACAAGGATCTCCATGCTTCCATGGGTTATGTGGTCCCATGGTCACAAGGTCACATGGTCACAAGGTCACATGGTCAAAAGGTCACATGGTCACATGGTCACAAGGTCACATGGTCACATGGTCACATGGTCACATGGTCACATGGTCACATGGTCACATGGTCACATGGTCACATGGTCACATGGTCACATGGTCACACGGCCACATGGCAGTGGTCACAGGACTCATCTCCATCACTGCTCACCACGTCTCGCACCCCATCCGCACTCCCCCCAAGCACGTCCTCGTCATTGTGCACGCCACTGCCAGCATGCCGCTCAACAGCATGCAGCAAGCTACATGCTACGAAGCGTCCCTAATGATCTCTCGCATCGCACGCTCACTCCCTTGTGTCACGTGTTCCAGCCCCCCGCTCCTCCCAGGCCATCGTCACAGTGGACGCCAGAGGCGGCATGGCATGCAAAGGGGCTTTCTTGAGTGTCACTAGACGATTCCTTTGTGTCTCCCGCTTCTCTCGCTCTTCCCTCCCACCACCATAACCATCAACCCCCCCGCAGGTCATCTTCATAGTGGAAGCCAGTGGCAGCATGGCACTCAGCGGCATGCAGCAAGCTACATGCTACGAAGCATGGCTAATAATCCAGCGCATCTCAGTCTCTCTCTTCTCTCTCGCCATCACCATCACCCCCATCCCCCCATCACCCCCATCCCCCCCATCACCCATCCTCCCCCGGCAGGTCATCTTCATAGTGGACGCGAGTGGCAGCATGGCACTGAACCGCATGGGGGCGGCCAAGGGGGCAGCGCTGCAGCTGCTGGCGGAGAGCTACAGCAAGCGCGACAGCGTGGCTGTGGTGCCCTTCCACGACCTCCACGCTGACTTACTAGTGCCACCTTCTCGTGCCGTGGCTCTTGCTCACAAGCGGTGAGCGCCCTCACACCCTCACACCCTCACACCCTCACACCCTCCCTCACACCCTCACACCCTCACACCCTCACACCCTCACACCCTCACACCCTCCCTCACACCCTCACCCTCACACCCTCCCTCACACCCTCCCTCACACCCTCACACCCTCACACCCTCTGACCCTCTGACCCACTTGCCCTCAGACCCTCTGCAGTTACTACCAGCGCGCGGCGCTGCAGCTGCTAGCAGCGAGTTACAGCGAGTGCGACATCGTGGCAGTAGTGCCCTTCCATGACTCCATCCCCTTCCATGACTCCATGCCCTTCCATGACTCCATGCCCTTCCATGACTCCATGCCCTTCCATGACTCCATGCCCTTCCATGACTCCATCCCCTTCCATGACTCCATCCCCTTCCATGACTCCATGCCCTTCCATGACTCCATCCCCTTCCATGACTCCATCCCCTTCCATGACTCCATCCCCTTCCATGACTCCATGCCCTTCCATGACTCCATGCCCTTCCATGACTCCATCCCCTTCCATGACTCCATGCCCTTCCATGACTCCATCCCCTTCCATGACTCCATCCCCTTCCATGACTCCATCCCCTTCCATGACTCCATCCCCTTCCATGACTCCATGCCCTTCCATGACTCCATCCCCTTCCATGACTCCATCCCTTCCATGACTCCATCCCCTTCCATGACTCCATGCCCTTCCATGACTCCATGCCCTTCCATGACTCCATGCCCTTCCATGACTCCATCCCCTTCCATGACTCCATCCCCTTCCATGACTCCATCCCCTTCCATGACTCCATCCCCTTCCATGACTCCATCCCCTTCCATGACTCCATCCCCTTCCATGACTCCATCCCCTTCCATGACTCCATCCCCTTCCATGACTCCATGCCCTTCCATGACTCCATCCCCTTCCATGACTCCATCCCCTTCCATGACTCCATCCCCTTCCATGACTCCATGCCCTTCCATGACTCCATCCCCTTCCATGACTCCATGCCCTTCCATGACTCCATCCCCTTCCATGACTCCATCCCTTCCATGACTCCATCCCCTTCCATGACTCCATCCCTTCCATGACTCCATCCCTTCCATGACTCCATCCCCTTCCATGACTCCATCCCCTTCCATGACTCCATCCCCTTCCATGACTCCATCCCCTTCCATGACTCCATCCCCTTCCATGACTCCATCCCCTTCCATGACTCCATCCCCTTCCATGACTCCATGCCCTTCCATGACTCCATGCCCTTCCATGACTCCATGCCCTTCCATGACTCCATCCCCTTCCATGACTCCATCCCCTTCCATGACTCCATCCCCTTCCATGACTCCATCCCCTTCCATGACTCCATGCCCTTCCATGACTCCATCCCCTTCCATGACTCCATCCCCTTCCATGACTCCATCCCCTTCCATGACTCCATCCCCTTCCATGACTCCATCCCCTTCCATGACTCCATCCCCTTCCATGACTCCATCCCCTTCCATGACTCCATCCCCTTCCATGACTCCATCCCTTCCATGACTCCATCCCCTTCCATGACTCCATGCCCTTCCATGACTCCATCCCCTTCCATGACTCCATCCCCTTCCATGACTCCATCCCCTTCCATGACTCCATCCCCTTCCATGACTCCATGCCCTTCCATGACTCCATCCCCTTCCATGACTCCATCCCCTTCCATGACTCCATCCCCTTCCATGACTCCATCCCCTTCCATGACTCCATCCCCTTCCATGACTCCATGCCCTTCCATGACTCCATCCCCTTCCATGACTCCATCCCCTTCCATGACTCCATCCCCTTCCATGACTCCATCCCCTTCCATGACTCCATCCCCTTCCATGACTCCATCCCCTTCCATGACTCCATCCCCTTCCATGACTCCATCCCCTTCCATGACTCCATCCCCTTCCATGACTCCATCCCCTTCCATGACTCCATCCCCTTCCATGACTCCATCCCCTTCCATGACTCCATGCCCTTCCATGACTCCATCCCCTTCCATGACTCCATCCCCTTCCATGACTCCATCCCCTTCCATGACTCCATGCCCTTCCATGACTCCATCCCCTTCCATGACTCCATCCCCTTCCATGACTCCATCCCTTCCATGACTCCATCCCCTTCCATGACTCCATCCCCTTCCATGACTCCATCCCCTTCCATGACTCCATCCCCTTCCATGACTCCATCCCCTTCCATGACTCCATGCCCTTCCATGACTCCATCCCCTTCCATGACTCCATCCCCTTCCATGACTCCATCCCCTTCCATGACTCCATGCCCTTCCATGACTCCATCCCCTTCCATGACTCCATCCCCTTCCATGACTCCATCCCTTCCATGACTCCATCCCCTTCCATGACTCCATGCCCTTCCATGACTCCATCCCCTTCCATGACTCCATCCCCTTCCATGACTCCATCCCCTTCCATGACTCCACCCTTCCATGACTCCATCCCCTTCCATGACTCCATCCCCTTCCATGACTCCATCCCCTTCCATGACTCCATCCCCTTCCATGACTCCATCCCTTCCATGACTCCATGCCCTTCCATGACTCCATCCCCTTCCATGACTCCATCCCCTTCCATGACTCCATCCCCTTCCATGACTCCATCCCCTTCCATGACTCCATGCCCTTCCATGACTCCATGCCCTTCCATGACTCCATCCCCTTCCATGACTCCATCCCCTTCCATGACTCCATCCCCTTCCATGACTCCATCCCTTCCATGACTCCATCCCTTCCATGACTCCATCCCCTTCCATGACTCCATCCCCTTCCATGACTCCATCCCCTTCCATGA